CCAGACAGACAGAGAGAGACAGAAAGTGAGAAATCACCCCCCCAGCGGGGATGGCCATGCCGCAATCCCTTCTCCATTCTCCTCTAGGGATCTTGGGCACGCGTGCACACGCGCCCGGCATGAGTTTTAAGCCACCGGGTGCAGGATGTGAACCGCGGTTGACTACATGGGAGTCCAGCGACATAGCCATTACGCTAACTGCTGGTCCCAAAAGTAAACAATTTCTTAAATGCCACAGGTAAACGGTTTTAGTTTTATACTCTTGCTGCTCTGGGAAAATGGCCACTATTATACACTGACCATTAAAATTCACAGGTGAACACCTTAAGTGGAAACGGACAATACACAGCAAAACATTATATATGCACATCTACCAGCCCAGCAAACGAATGTACTGAAGACATACAAGAGGTGTTCAGAAAGCTCATGGAAAATGTGTACTGTGAAAAAACTCTGCATGGATTTCAATTTTTTTTTTTTTGGTCCAAAATAAGCTTATATTTGAATTTAATTTTTCCACAAACTTTTTGAAGTCCTTTCATATATGACCCTCTTCCCAATTCCACACCCCTTTCAGTGACATGTGACCATGATGAGAATATTTACACCATGGGAACTGGCAGGAGGTATGTGATGGGAATACTATACAGATGTTAAAAAGAATAAAGTAGACATCAAACCAGTAAGCAAGTAAAAAAAGCAAGATGTGACCCAGAATGATCTTTATGATTTTTCCCGTGTAGTTTTACAAGGGAATAGATCAGTAATTTAAAATAGGTGAGCAGATTTCAACTTCATTTGACTGGAAGGGATGTTAAGGAACTGTTTTCAGTATCCACCTTTGGGAAGAGGTATCCAGTGAGTAGAGAAGACTGGCTTTCCCTTGTACCTTGCATGGAACATCCGAATTTTCTCTAACCTGAGAAAGGTATCTTATTTGTTTCTTTTTTAATATCGATGGGGTTGTGTGAATGGGGAAACTGCACCCCACTTCTGGTTTTCTTCTTTGCACCCCTCTATATTAAACTTCTACACACTCCAGGGCAGCCACACAAATGACAGGGCTCCCTGGGAAGGGGGGGGTCTGAGCTTGTACTTGGAACGAGGGTGGGGCAGGAGGGTGGAGGAGGGGAGGGGGCTGGTTACCTGGTGATGATGGCCAGGTGGGGAGGGTTCATGCAGGCCCCCATGAAGAGCACCACGTTTTCGTGCCGTGTCTGCCGGTAGTTCATCACCTCCTTCTTGAACAGCTTCAGGTGATCTTGGTTGTGGCCGTCCATCTCCAGCAGGCGGATGGCCACCTCGCCGTGCCAGCGGCCACGGTGCACCCGGCCCCAGCGGCCCTGCCCGAAGGGCCCCACCAGCCCCACCTGCTCGAAAGGGATGTCCCACTCCTGCAGGTACACGCTGGTCTGGCTGGCCTTGCGAGAGATGGGGCCCCTCCAAGGTCGGCGGGAGCTTGGCAGGTCATCCACCTCATCCTCGTCATCTTCTGCCTCCGACTTCCCAGGCTCTGGTTCCTCGGCCTGAAAAGGAAGGAGGAAGGAACAGAAACAGGTCTGGGCTCAGCTGACCTCACTTCCTTTCCTAGAGCTCCAGTCAGGGAAGAGAGGCCTGGGGTCAGGAGACCCAGGCTCCAGCCACGGCTCTGCGCTGGCTTGCCGTGAACAGTGGATGGGTCATTTAGTGGCACTGGACCTTGATGTTCTCATCCACAAATGTGGCATTTGGCCCAGGTGATCCGTGAGGCCTTTGACCTGCTGACACGCTAAGATCTACCTAAGAGCCACATGAACTTGTTCGGAGAAGAACACTCACATTCCTGGCATGGGGCAAGGAAACGGGCTTCATCCTTCAGGGATCGCTGTGTTTAACGCAGAGCGTCCGACTCCCCCCTGAGCAGCAGTAATCAAGGTGCCAACATTCTCTAAGCCATATTGCACTGCAGGGATCCAGGCTCAGTTAGCACTTTGTGTAAGGGTCAAGTCCGTTGCTCTTGACCTTGGCTATGATGGGAATTACCTGGGAGCTTTGAAAACATAGAGACGCCTGACCCCACCCTAGACTGACTGACTGACTACCCCGGGCCAGGGCCAAGGTCTCTGGGCTGGAAGTGAGAACCGTGAGAAGTACAAACCTATGTTAGCCTTGAAAACAGAAAAGCAAAAGGAAGCTCGCTTCACTGCACTCCTCACCACTCTTCCCATTCTTCCTCACCGTGCATGTCTGCTCACACCTCCAGCACCTGGGAGGGCCCAGGCCAGGGTCCAGCAGCTACTCCTCCCCCAGCCCCTGCGCCTTCGGAGATGGGGAGGAGAGAGAAGGAAGCGTCTATGCGCTCCTGTGTGTCACCCTCACTCACCTCCACTTCGTGAACCTCCAACACATCTGCTTTGGGCTGGTTGTCAAGCCTGAGAGTAAAACAGGGTTTGTCAAGGACACTGAGGGGGGCCTCCTCTCCTCGTAGCTGGGCAGAGGACCTGGGTGAGGGTGGAGACAGGGGCCTGCATCCCTACCTCACCTCCCTGGCTGTGGGAAAGGCAGCGCAGAGGGTCAGCTGCCCCTGCTCCAGTCTCAGCCTTCTCCAGGCTGCCTTGAGCATGGCGGGGGCGAGGAGCAGGCAGAACCACCAAGGCCCTTTCTAATCCAACCCACAGCCCAGGGGTTCACTAGGACTTTGCCCCCTAGCTGTGGGACCTTAGGTGACTTCTGAACCCCTCTGAGTCAGCTGCGCACTGAGGATGCCACGTGCTTCGGTACCTGCTTCCTGGGCTGAGGGCCCATGAGGAAACGCAGTTAGGTGCTCAGTGCGGCAGACGTGAGACAGGGCCCGATACAGTTTCCCTAGCTCTGAGCGGCCCTTTCCTCCCAGTCACAGGCTGCTCCAGTTTCGCCACACTGGACACCACCGCCCCGACAGGAGGCAGCTGCTTGGCCCAGAGGGAGAATGAGCCGCAGGAGGTCTCCTTGGTGGCCAGGCATGGGCGATGTCCAGCGTGAGAAGGTCAGAGATTTTAAAGGTGGGCGTGGGAGGTGGGTCCAGCTAATAATAATATCCTCCTCGGAAGATCAAGGGTGCCTACCGGGTGTTGTCGGCGGCATCAGGGAGCGGGGCTGCCTGAGGAAAGGCCGAGATGTCTGGAGGGAACAGAAAACAAAGCCTGAGCGCACGTCCCCACTCCCCCGGAGACGCTGTGCTTGAAGCCTGGCCCTCCCAGGGAGGCCGACCCGCTCCTGAGCTGTGGCCTGTGTTCTCCAGCCCCCCTCACCGCAGCCAGTCTGTGCTTTTCCCTCAGCCCATGCACGGCTGGGCCCTTACAGCACACGTTTTGCCCACTGCTCTGTCCTAGGAGGGGTTTCTGGGTGGGCGAAAGGAGTGAGGCTTCTCAGCTGACACCATCCCCCTGCAGCCACACTGCCCATGAACACAAGTGGTACGAGCGCCTGGGCTACTGTTCACGGACCCGCTGGTCAGAGCCTTCCCTGGAGGGTCCTCGTGCAGTGACAACCCTTGCAGGTGGTGAGACTCCCTCCTCAGGCTGCAGAGCCAGGACAGCATGGT